GTTTTTAATACACTCTACATAGAAAAAACTAAATCATACTTGCTGAGTCTGTGAAGTTGCTAGTCTTCTTACCCATCACCTAAGGCTTAGAATTTGCATTTCTTTGATAGGACACTTCCTTGGACAGGACAGTATGTTAAAGCTTCAAAAATCACTGACTCCTTAATACTTCCCGCTTCCCTCAAGATCTCCTAGACCAAAACTTCTCCTTGGCTTACACCTATAAGGATGTAGAATTTGCAGATCTCATCACTCCAGAAGTACACATTTCATATGCAGCTATTTTATGTTTTCTCAATTCCAACTGATTAAAGAAAAATGTTCTGATCAGTACCCAGCACACTATCAAAACACAAGAATGTAAATAGTGTTTGCCTTGATTAAATGGCATGAGATGAAAAGAACACTCCAGATTCCTAAGCTCTTACTTAGTCCCAGGCTTCTTATACTTCATACTTGTTTATGGAAAAGGCCAGGGAGAGGCTTTTAACACATGATGACGAATCAGACCAGCATGCATTGCTACACAGTTATCCTATCTGAGCTAAAGAGAACCTGGTCAATCTGCAAACTTTATGACTGGCTCAGTGTTAGGGCAGCTTTCAGAGAGACTTTTTAAGGAGTGCCAGACCATGGTAGATTACCGAAAGTGATAAAGGTCAACAGTATTCCTTAAAAGCTCCAGAACAGAAAGTTTTCATTGTTTCTGTCTGCTGGGAAAAGGGGTAACCACAAGTTCTTCAAGAGTAAAACTGACCTTCCATGTCCCTCCAGAGGACATTTCCTTTGAGATAGCACATTCTTGTTCACATTTCTTTATAATGTTTAAATCTGACTTCTCTGAAATAGGCAAAACCCAGAAAATTTCAGGTGTGTTTCACACTTAATCTGAGTCACAAGGCAACAAAAATGAAGCACATGAAATGTGAGATGTTTTGCACATTTTTTAAAGTAGGTATGTTAACGGCCTTGGAGAATTACGATTCTCTGAAGATAGCAACTTATCTTTACGAGCTTAACCTAAACTTCGCTCTGGAATAAAATCTGACTTACACTAACTTGATGCATCACCATGCAACTGAAAGGAATTCTTTCAGAACATAGCACAACCACACAAATTCAATGTTCTCCGTCTGTAAGTTGAAAGACTTTGTTTCAAAACACAATTTCAGTTTGGAAAATGTGCAAATAAAAACTGGATTTTGAAAATACAAGTATTTAAGCATTAGTTAAGATCCACAGGGTGCATAAAGCTAATGTAAATATAAAAATTCTCATCAGGTATCAGAGCGCTCAAGGAGTCACTGCAATAACCAATGAGCTGCAGATTCCGGATACAACCAGCACCAAGAATCAGATGTGATTTTACAGCACCACGAATAATTACACCTCTGCAGCATTGAAAGGGGAAAATGCCACAAGTTTAAAAATTAAACCATGATCAGTTCAACTGAGCTTTCTAAAATAAGCTAATATATTCTGGAAAACACTCTTTATAAGGGCTGTATGACAATATCCAATGTGATTGCACAAGAAAGGGCTACCCCTTTGTCATCACCAGACCCATCCAGCTTTTTAAACATGATTAACATGAAATCACTTTTTCAAGTTCAGTTCTTCCATCTCCACAGCCACACTGTGTACAGACTACCATCAGGGACAACACAGCATTCCCATTGCCACTGCACAACCCAAACACTGCAATACTAAAGGGGCAGGCAAGTTCAGGCCTCCCGCCTTCCATGCGGCACTGCTGGTTTCTGGGTGCAGCTTTCAGTAGGTTGTTGCTGTTGTTATTGCTCTTTATTTACCATTTCAATGGCAGACATGAACAAAAATTTTTATGAAACTATTATTCAAAAAGAACTGCAAATGCTTTCAAAGTTAAACTCGTTCATAAAGACATTTTTGTTGTAATATAACACCCCACAAAATGAACAAAATAAATAAAAGCTCTCTAGTATAATTTTCAAATGGCTGAGAAGTTTTGCTTTGGGTAATTGCCTCCATTTGAAAATCAAGTACAATGACTGGATTCCTCAAGCCACTCTCTCCAAGTACAAATGACCCCTTTCTCTAGTGAAGAAAAGTAAGGTGTGAAATATGAAAAGTCTAATCAGCTTCTCTAGCCTCCCTGAGTGGTAAGGCTGACATAGAACAAGAGATGCTAAGCATGGCAGGTATCTGAAAAGGAGAGTAATTACCACTGGGCTTCTGTAGTGCCCTATCATTATCTCTACTGGGATTCTCAGGGCTTGTCTATCTATTTTTAGTTAGCCTACTAAAACGCATCTTCACTTTTGGTTTGCATCCAATTATCACTTTGTGTCCCACATAAAAGAAAGCCACTTGATTACGCACTATTCGATAAGAAAACACACAAATACCATTCATTTGCAGATATTTGATCTAATGCAATCTAACTTCAGAATACCTCCCAAAGCAAATCAAAGAGTGCCACAAAACTGTACACTTGAAAATGGCTAGGATGGCAAAATTTTAAATTGTGTCTCTTTTACAGTTAACTATATCCTGATTGACTAGCTTCCCAAATAAAATACAGCAAAATCTTACTCAAAATAAAAATCCAATCATATTAAAAGTTAAAGATGAAAACTGCATTTAAGAAAATGGTTTTTTAAGCCAGAAATGGTGGCCCATACCTGTAATCCCAGCACTCCAGAGGCTGATACAGGAGGACTGCTGTGAGTTTCAATGCCAATGTGGCCTACATAGTGCATACCAGGCCAGCCAGGGCTACATAGCAAGATCCTGTCTCAAAGAACCAAATATATTCCTAAGGGCTTGTACAGCTCAGTGGTACAGTGCTTGTCTAGTATATGTACAAGGTCTTGGATCTCCAGCATCACACAGACACAGAAAGACACACAAACACACACTCTCTCTCACCATTTTATTTTCAAGTACTCCAATATTACAAGTTCAAATAAAGATCATGAAGATGCTAAATGAAAATTTTATGTTTAACCAATATTGCCATTCAGGAGAGTTTTCACACCTATTCCAAGCTAGGCACTGTATTAATCATATCCTTCGGGCTGGAGAGATGGTTCAGTGGTTAAGAGCACTGACTGCTCTTGCAGAGGACCCAGATTCAATTCTCAGCACCCACATAGCAGCTAACAACTGCCTGTAACTCCAGTTATGGGTGCCTTCTTCTGCATGACCTCCACGGGCACTGCATGACACAGATGCACTTACACACATGCGGGTGATACACTCATACACATAAAATTAAAAAATAAAATTTATTTTTTAAAAAAATCACTTCCTTTGTAAACAGTAACTCTGATCTTCACAACTACCCTAAGAACTGGATATTCTATTACCCCCACTTTACAGATGATGAAACTGAAGGACAAATCTTTTTTTTTCCTTAATCTGGGATCACTACTAACACTGTGCAAAATTCTAAAGGGTTCAAGCTAGTGCATCACATGCCTCACACCTGCTCTTAAGGTTCTACTGGCATCAGAAAAACAATGTGGAGAACCACACAGCTACAGTGAATTTTTCTCAAGACTCATAACTTGATGATCTGATATGTAGTTGGGAAAAGAAAAACATCCCTGGGTAAAAACAAAGGATACCTTGACATAACACTGATCTTTAAGGAAGAAATAATATTTTATTCCAAGAAACACCTTTTCCTTTTATTTTTCAGGGAAATCTCACAGGCAACCAGCAAAAAATTATTTCACAACAAAGAACTATAAACCCACGGAAAGAAAAAAGTTAACAAAAACTCTTATCCTTTTCATGGTATATATTTTAATATCAGGCATTCACATCACAAAACTCATCACCAAGCACTACACAGGAAATGCAAAATGTTATTGACAATTCCAAATCCTTTAAATCTTTAGTTCAACCTATCCCAAGCTTTCTAAACCCAAACAATCAAATTATTCTATGTCCAAGATACTATGGACACTCTCCAAGACACAAGGGACAAGGAGACAGCATGCTCTATTCTCCCCTTGTGATCACACACACACACACAGACACACACACACACACACACACACACACAAAAGATCAAAACCAAACAAAAAATAGTCACAAATTTCATCACTCCATTCCACCAGTTTTACAAAAGCAAAGCAAAAGCTGTTCTTTTTTTTAGTTTTTTTTTTTGAACAAGTAAAATTCTAAAAACATGGGTTGAAGGGGGTTGGCCATGATCAAAATACAGGGTATACATGGATGAATTTTTCAAAAAATTAAAAGAATATTATTACAATTTTTACAAAAAGAAAGACCGTGGGTTGACTGCAAGGTGATCCCGCCTCCCTCAGTGAGAGAGAAGCAAACACTTCACTTCATCCACGAGTCTGCAGAAGCCACTGCAACCCGCCAGATCTGAGCTGGCTTAAGAAAAGGGGCATTTCAGGAACCTCTCCAATCTGCACTTCACCCGCAGCCGGATACCCAACTCGGACGCCGAAGACCTCAATGCGCAGAACCAGCTGAGGGAAACCTTGAGCGGGGCACAGAAGTTTTCCTGAGAACTAAAACTTCTAAGGCTGCACGTACTAAAACTGTTTCCACAAAGAGATAGAGTGACTTAGAGTGATCGCAGATACCACATCGAAATTCAAGTAAAAAGAAAAAAGAAAGCCAAGCCTTTCCAGCGTTGGGCTTCAATCCAGTAAAAAGCTTAAACAATTTAAGTTAGAAAAGAGAAAAGGCGAATAGGGGTCCCGGCTCCCCAGTTCTTGACCTTCAAAACAACGCAAGAAAAGAAAGAAAAGAAAAAAGAAAGAAAGAAAAAGGAAAAAGGTCCCAACCCCAGAAGAAAAGTTTGGCGCCGCCGACCCAGGGCTGCTCCGCTCGCTCCCGGGCGGAGGCGGGGCCCCGCGCGGTACGGACCCCCGGCCGGCCGGGAAGGACGGAGCCTGCGGGTCCCACCAGCCCCCGCCCCGCCCCCGGCCCCCTCCGCGCCCGCTCCAGCCCAACACGCCCACCCGCTCACTTACAGGCATCATTGTGGACCCAAACCGCATGGAAGCGAGAGGCCGGCCGCGGCCTGGCCCAGCCGACTTGGCCCGGGGGGCGCGGGCCCGAGGAAGCGGGGCGAGGACGAGGCCGCGCGGCCGACCTGTTGCGAGGGAGGCGGCAGCGCGCGAGGCCGCTCAGCCGGCCGGTGCGCCACCGAGCCCGGGTCCTCTCCCCGAGCCGGGCCCCCGGACAACGCTTTGTCTCTGCGCTCGCGACAGCCGGGTGTCCCTCCTCCCGGGCCCCGAAACCAACTAATCCCGGCCAGCCCCCGCCGAGCCCGGCAGGCTCCGCCCCCCGCGAAGGCCCCGCCCGCGGCGCGCCTGGCGGCCTGGGGGAGGGGAAGGGAGTGGGCGGCCCGGAGCGACGGCGCATGCGCGGGCCCTGGGCGGAGCTTAGGGGGGCGGGAACCTTTTCGCTCGGTTTTAAAGGGCGGACCGCGAAGGTGGCGCACTGGGGGAGAGTTGTCACCGCACCCTGAGCGGGAGGTGGTACGCTCAGCTACTCTGCACTTTGGAGTTGCACTCTGGGGTTAAGTCCTCGGCCTTAGGCACCGTGAGCCCTAGATTCAGCGTCCGGGCCAGGCCAGGAGGGGAGGGTTGGACGCCGGCTCCCGCCAACCCTCGAGGATCCCACCCGGACTGACCAAAAGGAGACTCGCGTGGCCTTCCGGGCCGCAGCACGTCCTGAAAGTTCCTCCAGTGGAAGAGCTCACGAATGTGTTCGCCCTTCCTCCCCTCAGCCCTGGCCAACGTCCTAAAAGTCCTGTGATATTTGCTATGATGTGAAGAAAAGGTACTTCACGATGACTAAAATGGCGTCAAGGTTTTATAAGCATATTATGTCCAAATACAGTCAGCAAGCTTTAAAATGTGTGAACCAGCTTTCTGAGGAACTCCTAAGCTTGTAATGCTCAACGAACACGGACACAGGTACCAACCTTTCATGTCCAGAAAAATGGCATTGGCTTTGGCAAGACGAGCGGAACTGGTTTCGGAGCCCTCTTCCATCACCCAGGAGACCATTAACTGCGAAGTCTGGCTAAGTAGCTAGCCCACGCTAGGCTCATTCAGAAAAAAACTAGACATGGAATAACGCACCTGAATTTCTGGAGTTTCAAGAATCCACACCTGTCCTCTCAGCACTGGGGAGGCTGAGGCTGGAGGATTACAGTGAGCTGGAGGCAGGCCTAGGTTACACAGTGAGCTCCTATCTCGAGAACAAATTTTTTTTATGAAAAAAAAAATTGTTGCCCTAGATTCCCGATTACTCGGAAAACTGAGGCAGGAGGATCCCAAATTAAAAGCCTGCTTGTAATTAGCAGGCTTACCAGGGCAGGTCTCAAAATAAAATTGAAAAAAAAAAATGGGGGGAGGTTGCTGAGGATATAGATCAGTGAGAGAGAGCTTGCTTTATATGAATATGGCCCCAATTTCAATCCCCGGTACCACAGAAAGAATGAACAATTCTTGGTGAGCATGGTGATACGTTTATCATCCCGGCACTGGGAAGGTGGAGGCAGAAAGGTTCAGTATGAAGCCAGCCTAAATTAATCAATAACCTAATAAATAAAAAGGACAATTCTTTCTTCCTCTAACATATCCCTTACCAAAATCTCCATCAAACTCCCTATTGACACCATCCCAGCTACCATAGTTAAATGTAAACTTATAGATGATTCAACTAGAATTCAATGTTCTAACAAAACCTAGATTAGAGTCTAGTTATTTTAGAATTAGCCTGAGTTAGGTAAAGGAAATCCAGACCTTCATTTATTCAGTAAAAGATGTATCAAAATACCAACCATGTGCTAGGTATTCTAAGTACTATAGGTCCATTAATGAGCAACACAAAGTTCAGTGGACAATAAAACCAATAGTTAAGTGTTTTGATAACAAACATAAACCAATAATAGTCACTGGGCAAAAAATAGACTGCAGGAGGATGAGGCATAGAGATGCATTTTTTAAACAGAACATTCAAGAAAGGCCTCACAGAGAAGCACAGGCTTGAAGGAGTAAGCTACCTGAATATGGAAAAGAAGCTAAAAGAGGCTCTTGTAAGACTGCAGAAGGTGAAAATAGCCTGGGTGTGGGTAATCACGGACTGGTACAAAGTGGTCAGATCTGGGGGATATTCTTTGACGGGTGAATTTCCACATAAATATGGGCTATGAGAGATGTCAAGGGGAAGTTCAAGACGAAAGTTGCCATGAACCGAAATGAGCAGAACAAATTTCATGGAAGAGGGAATCAGTCTGGGACATGTTAACTTCCAGAATCTTAACACAAAAGAAAATCTAATCCTGAGATTTAGAATATTTGTGGAAAGTAAATCATACAGGGACTATTTTGCACCAACAAATTTATTTTGTATTCCACTGATTTTCATTGTTTCTTACACAAAAATCTCAGCAGCAACCTAAGATCCAGGATGCATATAGTCACCCAGAAAAAGAATTCTTACTGGTCACTAATCCTCCAGTTCTCAATGGACCAGGAAACTAGGATCCTATCTCATTTCTGTAGAAAACTGGCTATGCACAACAGTAAATTCTGTTTAATATGTGCACTGGAAACCCTGGCTTAGTAAGGAAGCCATTGCAATGAAATGGAAGCAAGGAGAGAAGAATTAGAATAATATACTCCCATTGTATTCCTTTACTGCTGTTTTCACAAATGTCCTGCCCAAGGGAAGGGAGGGGGAAAGGGGTCAGTAGCTGGCAATTTGTCCTGAAACTCACTTCCAGCCAACTGAGAATTCCCAGCTGCCAAATAACAGGTATGTTTATGTTCAGTGATTTTTTTTTTTAAACCATAGAAGCATGGAGCCAAAGAAACTTTGTGCTTTGGTTCATTCCCTCCAGTTCTACACAAGTCCCATATGGCTCTGTCAGATGGATTGTTAATTACCTGCCAAGTTTCACTTTTTCTATACTCCCACTTTCACCTACTTTTTCAAGAGCCTCAACTTGGTCCTCCCCACCTAATAATTCTGCATTTGACTCTAAGATAGATGAAGTGAAATTACCATGAGCTGGTTGGGGAGGAGCTGCCTTCTCTCTTAGACCTCACCCGACCCCTAGGCCCAGTACAATTAACTATCTGGAATCAGTCTTCCCCGTGCTACTCAGGCCTGTTTCCCACAGATGTTCCGAACTTTGACTCCCTCTGCTCTCTCATATGAACTCTCATGTTGCTTCATCAATAAGCTAGAGGTGACACAGCTTGCACCTTTGCAGCTCATTCTCCCCACCTCCCTTCATATAGTCTTCCTATTTCTTTTGTTGATTTATTTTACTATCACAGTTATCCCTTAAAATTCATGGAGAGCTGGTTGGAGGATTCTCCCTCCAAGATCTGTAGATGCTCAATTCCTTGAATTAAAAAAAAAAAAAAAAAAAAAAAAAAAAAAAGAGCTGGGAGTCGGGGGCATATGCCTGTAATCCTAGCACTAGAAGACTGAGATGGAAGGATCAAGAGTTTGAGGTCAGCCTGAGCTACATAGAAAGACCCAATCAATCAATCAATCAATCAATAAAATTGCATATACTCTACACATAGCTTCCAGTATACTTTAAATCATCTATATATTACTCATTATATTTGATGCAATGAAAATTTCTTACAAATACTATCCTGAATTGTTCAGGGATTAATGATAAGAAAATCACTGGTCTATATGTGTTCAGTTCTGATGCAATTTTTTTCTTGAATATTTTCAACCTGTGTTTGGTTGATCTGCCTGTACAGGGCCTATGGGTATGGAGAGCCAGCTGTACTCTATGCCTGTATTTTACCAGGCTCTATTCAAGATCCTAGAGGCAACAGAGAACCTTCCTTAAAGCCTGTAGTGTGGATGGAGAAGCTAGACATGAACAAAAGGATTAAGTGTTGATAGATACTATGGAGGGAAAGTCTGTTTTAGACAGAGTGAGCAGGGAGGCTCCTGAGGATCAGAGATGGAGGAAGTCAGACTCTGGGCAGTGGGAACAGTCCTGACAAAGAGCCTTACACTCTCATGTTCAGTATCTTAATGGAGTAATGAGGAGGGCAGTGTGCTTGGAGCTGTCTGAACATGGAAGAGAGGGGAAGCATGGGAAGATGCAGCCAGGACCTGGAGCACGTGGGGCTAGTTAATGCTGTTTGTCCTCAGATACTCCATCTTTACAACTTGGTTTTTGTTTTGTTTTGTTTTGTGGGATTTTTTAAAGACAGGATCTCATTATGTAGCCCCAAGCTGGCCTGGAACATGCTGTGTTGACCATCCCAGGCTAGCCTCAATCTCACAGCAACCTGCCTGCCTCCCAGATACTGAGATTAAAGGTGTGCACTACCATGCCCGGAAACAGCTTTACTTTTTAATATATTTTTTAATTGTACATATTTATGGGGTACAATATATATTTCAGCACATCTATACAGTATCTGATCATCACCTGAGAGTAACTGACTTATCGCTCACTTCAGAGATTTACCATTTCTTTGTGCTAGAAACCAAAATCTTTCTACTTATACAATTAATTATTATCAGCCATGTTAGTTTATAGGTTCCTTGCCTACAAATGTACCCAGTGCTTTCCTTCATTCTCCTGGATTAGCAGTAATCAGAAAGAAGGCGATGGAGCAGAAGTCTGGGTTCCCTGCTTTAAGTACACTCCGCACCTACCTACCTATACACCAAGCTTCTACTTGTCTTTCCAGTTCTCACCTAAATGCAACCCTTGAAAGTGCTAACTGATATTTCTCAAGAGGAGCTAGTCAATATCTCTTCAATCTAGTGTCACATGACACAGAAAACAACAAACCCCAAATCTCTCCAACTAGATTCAGTGACAAGGACTATTTATTTATTTATTTATATATCGTCAGCCTTAATATTCTGCCTGGAGCATAGTAGGCACTCAATAAGTGCTAAATTAATGGTACTTAGTAAATATTCCCTGCCGTCTTCTACTCTTCTCTCTGCTAAGTATGGTGACTCTTGACTCTTTATGTTGTCTTGGGCAGTTCATTGTTGCATCTGAACTTCAATAAAGAGAGTATAGTGAAATACTATACTCCAATGCATTCTCTAACCTAGAGGGTAGCAATCTGCAGGCCACAATCTACAGCCCATATCTGCCCTCTACCTTTTTCTATATAGCCTATTGAGCAAAAGATTGTTGGTTTGTGTGGTTTTTTTTTTCAATTTGGTTTGGTTTTTGGTTTTGCTTTTTGAAATGCTATAGCTGAACCTAGGAAAATACTGCTGAACTGGGC